TTAAAAAGCCCTGACAGCCCTGGCCAGGGTTGCTCAGTGGTTAGAGCGTCAGCTCACACACCGAAGGGTCTTGGGTTCGATTCCCAGTCAAGGGCATGTAGCTGGGTTGCAGGTTCCATGCATGGTCCAGGTCAGAATATGTGCAGAAGGCAGCCAACCAATGTGTTTCTCTCACATCAATGTCTCTCTCTCTCTCTCTCTCCCCCTCCCTTCCACTCTCTCTTAAAAAAATCAATGGAAAAAAATATCCTCAGGTGAGAATAAACAAAACAAAACAAAAATAGAAAGCCCCTAAAGGGGTTTGACGCAGGTGACCCAACAGCCACACTTTGAGAACCGCCACCAGGTAAGCTCTTCCTGTGCGATCTCGTAGCTCCTGTGGATTAACCACCCTTTATATCCTGGTGACTCAAAACATAAATTTCTCTCTCTCATTAAAAACTCCTGGCTGAGCGCCAGCCCCCTGTACCCACTTGGCAACTGAGCATCGCTGTCTGTCTCCTAAGAGCCTTAAACTCATCAGGTTGAAAACCGAGCTGGTTTTCTTCCCGCACCTGGTGGACATAAAGCACCGACCCCTTGGCTTGGCGTGCGGGACTCCGCCTCCGGCCCCGCCTCGTCCCTGGCCGCTGCTTGCTCTTGGTGTTTAGCAATATCGAGACTTCTTACAGATCCTGGGCACACATGCCTCTCTCCTTGCTGTCCCCCTGCCAGGAGTCCTGCTTCTGGGCACAGATGTGCCACCTCCTCCGTCCTATCAACGTGCTCCTTGTCATTTGACCCTCCGCGCTGGCTCTCGACCACGTGCCCGCTCCGACTGCCGCACTCGGAGTGTCGTGTTGTACGTGCCCCTTTCCTGGTGGCTGTGAGCTCGAGCTCCTTGGAAGCAGGGGCTGTGGCTTGTCCCCTTTTGCATCCCCAGCTCCTGCTGCGGAATCGAACACACAGCGCGCAGCCACTGAGCATCTGCTGAATCCGATTTCTTGGTGGGAAAAAAAAAAAAAGAGGGAAGGAATGACCAGCGACGTTGAAGGGAAATTTTAAAAGTGCATATGATGAAAAGTCAAGGGAGGGGATTGATTCGAGAAGAATGAAGGGATTAACAGTGTCTAACGAAAGTTTGTTTAGGGATCAAGCAGGGCAGGGACGGGAAAAGGGCACTGGATCTGGCATCAAAGAGGTCGCTGGCCACGTGAGAGCCAAGTGTCCGTCCCAACGGCCCTCTGCCATCGCCGTGAACTTCCCTCTAGCGGTTGCCACACCGGGGCAGGCTCTTTCACGCCAGTGGGAGGAAACGCTACGGTGCCAACTTCACACAGCACAGAAACACGCAGGCCCACTGGTTAACCGCAGAGCGGGGCTCAGCTTGTCCTAAGAGGCCCCGGGGCTTTCAAAAGGGCCCGCCTGTGACTGCTGACCCTTCTACACCTGCTCTCGAGCGAAAGGCCTATTTCTCTCCGTCCCATTCCTGCCTGGCTTGTCCAAGTTCAGCCTGGACTGCGGGTCAGGCAGCCCAGATGTTACCCATCTCCCCTCCTCCCAGAAATTTCTCTGCAGGGCTCGGTCACTTCTCTGAGCTGCTTCTCACGTGCAAATCCATCCCAATCATCCACTCGCACAACCTCCAACAAAAATCAGCCCATCTCCTGAGCACCTACATCCGGCTTCTTTTACATTCATAGGCTGACTGCATTTTTTTTTGCCAGAGCTCCTTTCTGCCGAATGCCATTCTGGCCTCTCTTTGCCTTTCTTACATCCCCCTGTTCAGACGTCTGATCAGAAAACGGATGATGTTTCCCACCCCCCTGGTTTTGCCAGTGTCATTTCTCCGACTGCAGCTTCCACAGTCAGAGTCCCTCGGCCCTGCCGAGCTTGCTGTCCTCTCTGCCCTGAAGCCATAGCTCCCGCAGTCGCCTCACTCGAATGCAATCTTTTCTCTTCCATGCCCTCCTCAGCGTGACACTCTACCCCTAAAGCGTCTATGGAAGGGTTCCTGTAGTTATCAAACACAAGTCTATTTTTATTATTTTTATTTTTTTTAATGTTTTTTATTGATTTCAGAGAGAGGAAGGGAGAGGGAGAGAGAGAGAGAGAGAGAGAGATAGAAACATCAATGATGAGAGTCATTGATCAGCTGCCTCCTGCAGCCCCCTGCTGGGGATCGAGCCCGAAAACTGGGCATGTGCCCTGACCGGGAATTGAACCGGTGACCTCCTGGTTCATAGGTCGATGCTCAACCACTGAGCCACGCCAGCCAGGCACCAATCTATTTTTTAAATGTATTATTTAAGCCGATCCAAGGTTTAACACAGAAATGTGAAGTCATTTCTTAGGATTCACTAAAACAAATAGGTCTCGTTAAGAAACAGAATCATAAAGAGGGGAAAGGAGAGAGAGAAGTAATGTGTGAAAGAGAAAGATGCAGAGAGAAAGGAAATGAGGCAGACGCACTGTCAAAAAGAGAGAGATGTGAACAGATGCAGATATGGAGGGATCAAACGAGAGGTGTGGTCTCGAAGGACAGATTCTAACGAGTGAACCGTCCCCCCCAGACACGTCCTTCAGAGACAAAACAGGATCCGCCAACACAGAGGTGAGGACCGGGCAGGAAAACGAAGGCGGCACACGCCAAGGCCAAACAAGACACAAGCCACACAGATGTCGTGCCGGGAGTGCCCTGGGAGCAGCAAGGACATGCACACCTGTGGAGATCCACCCCAGAGAGAAACGTCTCTGTCGTGGGGCATAAATGAAGAAATGACCCCGTCACTTGTCCTGTAAGCAAAATGAACTTGAAACAAGGTGAAAATTCCCCCGTGCTCACTCTGCTGACCCCTGAGAAAGATACAGCTCGTGACATTTCATAGAAAGGCAATTAAGAAGAGGTGACTGACTGCCCGGCTGGTGTGGCTCAGCGGTTGAGGGTCGACCAGTGAACCAAGAGGTCACAGGTTCGATTCCCGGTCAGGGCCCAGGCCCAGGTTTCAGGCTCGATCCCCAGTAGGGGGCGTGCAGGAGGCAGCTGACTGGTGGGTGTTTCTCTCTCACCAATGTTTCTCTCTGTCTCCCCTTCTCCCTTCCTCTCTCTCTAAAAATCAATAAAAACATATATATATTTTAAAAAGAGGTGACTGGCCTAGGTGGTTACTAAATCTTTTCCAGTTCTCTTGCCTTTGTTATTGTTTCTCACAGCACACTGTGGTTCGTTTGTTGGCAAACCCGGACTTCCGTGTTGTGCAAAAAAAAAAAAATCAGATTTATTAAATGAGTTAATATTTGTGAGCTTCTCGGAACACTAAGTGCTAATGGGTGCACTAGATAAATAAAATGCAGTGATACTATCTCTGGCCAGGCGTGGTAGCTCCTGGACGCACTTCAGTGGCTCGCCGTGTGACTTTGGGTGTCCTCTCTACCCAGGATACTCTCTAGTGCCCTCTTCTGGTGCCTCCCTGACCCTCCTCGCCTTCCTCCCAGCCCCACCTGTCAAACGCTGCTCATGTCTTCAGGCTGAAGTTAAGAATGCTGCACCTCAGGTAACTCATGTGCCCAGCCCAGAGGATGCCTCCCCACTGGACTTCTGTGACGCGACCTCCCGCTGGCACTCAGCCCTGCTGGCCACGCGTCCCTTCCAATGCTCCTTGACCTGCTCAGTCCAGGTGCCATTCCGGGCAGGTTGCCCCCCTCCCTCCCTCCTTGCC